GGTATTCTGACTGTGAGCGGGGTCGCCTCTCCACAGATCTGACCTGTAACTTGGTCCGGTTTGCTCTCCATGAAGTTAGAAAGGTTTAATGCCATACTGTGAAACATTCCAGACAAAGCAACAACATCTCCGCAAAGAAAAGCAACAGAAAACTTACACAACGCACCTTTTTAAAGCTTTAGTTTCAAAATCCATACTCCTGATCGCTCTGTGTGGAGTTTGCGTGTTCTCCCTGTGTTCTCGTGGCAGAGTGGTTAGCCTGTGTGTCTCTCAGTATGGAGGCTGATTCTTAGTGATAGTAGAATAACTGTCTTTATGATGGGCGGTGAGGATTTTTCCACCGTTGAATCTGTTACATAAATAAAATGGAAATATTTTGACCCACTTTATGGCCTACAGATGGAGTCCTGGAAGACATTATTGTATCACTATAGGACGTTATAATAGGCGCGGGATAAGAAGCAGTCGAAGAACCATGTGTTTATTCTTCACGTTTGGGTGTAGTTTAATCGCAATTGTAGAAAAATATCTGCTGTTGGACTGTTAAACCCACTTTTTGTTCAGTTTTTGTAATATTTTCATTACTGAGATAATTGTTCCTATTTTGTTTGATTTAATATTTACTAGGAATGTAACAATAACTGAAATTTCGTGATATCGTATTGTCAAAAGTTTCTCAAAAATATCGTGGACCATCACAATACATCGAATCACAAGTTCACAAGGCTCAAAAACAGACCTAACTACATAGACCATGATCCTTTGCGCTGTTTCAGTCCAATCTACATGTTGAAATAACGGTTATTAAGCGTGTTTACATATTAATTGTTTGGATTATGATGACAGAAAAGTAGCATATTCACAATTTTGTTAGCTTACATAAAATATCCCAATAAATATAGTACTATGATATGCATATCATGAAAATATCGTATCGAGAGAATTGGATATCGTTACATCATGAATATTTACTTTAAATGCATGATTTTTGGTAATTTTGGTAATTCTTTATGGTTAACATGATAATCATAAGTTTACCCAAGTGTTGTTTATTTTTTGTATTGTACAGTTTTTTGACCTCCTGTCTAGGGCTGGGTATCATTAAGAATTTGCCGATACGGTACATACCTCGATACATAGGCCACGATACATACCTCGGTACATCGGCCATGATACATATCTCGATACATAGGCCACGATACGATACATACCTCGGTACATAGGCCACGATATGATACATATCTCGAAACATTGGCTACGATACGATACATACCTCGATACATAGGCCACGATACGATACATATCTTGATACATGGGCTACGATACGATACATACCTCGATACATAGGCCACGATACGATACGATACATACCTCGATACATAGGCCACGATACGATACATACCTCGGTACATAGGCCACGATATGATACATATCTCAATGCAGTGACCTTTTTTCCGGCTAAAGGACGCGACTCGGTGGAATATGAGGATGTGCTGCTGATGGTTTTGTCTGTAAATGGTGGAAAAGGTTCGTGGTGCTTGAAGCTTTTCACTGGCACCAACTTTCGGCGTTCAGAGGAGTGAAGGAGACGCGAGCGAACAAAATAAGGGAGGCGGGGCGCGTGGAGGCGACGAGAGAGATGGTAAACAAGCGAAGCGGCGAAATCAGAATTGAATATAAGCATTATATCGATATATACGATATGTCAGAATTCATATCGAGTTTAAAAACTATCTCGATATATTTAAAATATCGATATATCGCCCACCCCTATCCTCAACTATACATGAATACTCAGTGAAGAATTTTTATCTGCACTTGGATCGCTCTCCGTGGATTTATTTCACTTTTGAGGCATTTTAAAAGGTGGTGCAAGGTGTGCAAAGTGTCAGTCTGTGGCTTCACAAATGTTTGGACATTACAGGGTCTTCTCAGCTGATCCCCCCGCCCTCTGGAACTCCCTGCTCAAACACCTCAGAGACTCATCCACACTCATTATCTTCAAAGAACTCCTAAAAACTCATCTGTTCAAAACTACCTTTAAATAGCTGCATCTCCCGTCGACCTGTTTCTTTCATTTGTGTTTGTGTCTGTCTTGATCTGTGTGAAGCGGCTTTGAGTGTCATGAAAAGTGCTATAAAAGTGTTGTGTATTTATACTTTATGCATAACTCTAGCAGATAATTTTAACTGAATGTTGACTTCATCTAACGTCATTGCAAAAAAATAAATAAATAACCACCTCCCCTTCCTGATATTGCTTTAAAATGTCTTAAATTTCCTGAACATGAAACTTTTACTTTTAATAACTGCAGTTTAACCCCAAAAAATAGTCAAGTTTCTTCCTCCAAAGTCTGAACTTTGCTCCTAATAAATGTAAAATAGAGCAGTTTAAAGTCATACAATGGAACATTCCAGGAAGGTGACCGACCCTCCATGAGAAAGTTACACAGTGCAGCTTTAAGTATGGGGATATCTCCATTCCTTCCTCTGTCCAAGCTGAAATAAGAAATACTACGTTGCGTTTTAATGCTTTTCAAATATTTATCTCTTATAGTTTTTTTTTTGTTTTCCTCTCCTCAGATGATGAAAATTTACTTTTAATAACTGCAATTTAACCCAGAAAATAGTCAAATTTCTTCCTCCAAAGTCTGAACTCTGCTCCAAACCTTAAGCTTTCACTGACAGAGGATTAGACTTAGACAAACTTTATTGATCCACAAGGGAAATTATTTTAATTGGTGTAAAATTGGCGTAGACTTCTCCATTAAAAGACCCCAGCTGATGCGATTAAGTTTGATTGAATGCTGTGCTGTCTTATTGCAATTACGGTATTTTCTCCACAGTTTCATGCTTCTAATTAGGGATGTAACGATATCCAAATCTCTCGATATGATATTTTCCTGATACGCATCTCACGGTATGATATTTATTGCGACATTTATTCGTGGAGGCTGACAAATGTGTGAATATGCTACTTTTCTGTCACGATCCAAATAATTAATGTATGTAAAATGCTTAATAGACTCTATTCAGGCTCTATTGACGACGTCCGATGTAGTTACCGACACTGGGCATGCGATAAAACCGTGAATTCGGCAGCAACTTCACAACTTGCCAAAACTTTCCATGGGGATGTGACTTTAATCGCGTCTTCGATGTCACTTACAGGCAGCTGGTTATAACCGTTGATCTGCCGAACATATTGAAACACTACAATTTTATTAAGTTAGACAAATTTATAATACACATATTAATAGGCAGTTTATAAAAGGAAAAAAGAAAGAATAAAATGACATCTGGATGAAGAAAACCAGGCTATTTTCTCAGTTTTTCCCAGATTTCTCAGACTTACTATCACCAACAGAGCCCAAAGGAAGTCGCATAATTTCCAAACGTCTTCTGGTTTTATAACGTAAGCGTGAATAGAGCAGTTGTTTCATCAAGTAGATTGAACTAAAACAGAGCAAAGGATCATGGTATGTGTAGTTCTCTCTGTTTCTTTAGCTGTTGCTGCGCCATAACGATGAATTTAAGCAAAGAAACTTGTGATTCGATCCAATCCACTTTATTTCTATATTAGATTTCACAAACTAACAGTTTCCAAAGTGCTGCACCAATACATAATAATAAAATGATAAAATAAACTACTAAAATAAGCATACTAGTCTTTAAATAATAGAACAAAATTAGTAAAATAAAATTAGAGCAAAATCATAGAATAGCAATAAATAAATAAATAACACCAATAAAAATACATTAAAAAATAAATAAAAAAAGACACAGAGGAGCACACAACTCTCGTGGTGTTAAAAACCAAAGAATAAAAGTGGGTCTTAAGACGAGACTTAAAACTCTCCACAGTGGGGGCTGTTCGGACGTGGGGGGGCAGAGCGTTCCAGACCTTAGGGCTGACCGCAGAGAAGGTCTTGTCCCCCCTGGTTTTAAGTCTTGTCTTCGGCACCAAGAGCTGGAACTGGACCTCAGACCTCAGAGCGTGCGCGGGGATGAGATCCGAGATGTACTTAGGCTTTAAAAACAAACAATTCTAAAATCTTAAAAACGATGTATTGTGGTGGCCCATGAGACTTTATGGCTGCGTTCAGACTGCAGCCTGAATCAGTTTCCAAATCCGATTTTTTTGGCCCCTGTGTGACCTGTATCTGATCTTTTAATGACAGTCTGAACGACACAGATCCCATTTTTTCAAATGCGACCCAGGTCACTTGGATATGTGCTCCTAAAACCGATACATATCTGATCTTTTGACATTTGACTTCAGCCTGAACGGCCAAAGTGCATTCATTCGACCTACACATGATCAAAAAGCGACAAATGTACACAAACGTTCTTCTCGTCATACGAAAATTGTTAATGAACTCCGTGTCACTGAAGTGAAGCACATCACCACTCACCACTCTTGGCTCCGTCTCCACATCCACACGTTCCTTTCAACGGACGTTGCTGCTGCTGTCCCACAAAACACCACGACCAAAAACCTCGTCCTTCTCTTCTCAATCTTCTTAAAACAAATAAGTTGTTCACATTCTGGCTCCGGTACGAGAGGAACTTTAAAATCTCCAGGTGCTCAGTGCTCGCCTCCATGTTTGGACAACTTCCATAAACACAGAGCACACTCGCTGCGGTTGACGTCGTTATGTCTCCAGTGCACATGTGGGACACTTTTGGGCCGTTTAAAGTTCACACTGGAGATCACATACAAGTCACATTTAATTGGAAACGTGAACGACCTCGCAAAAACATCGGATTTCACAAAAAAATCAGAATTGAGCATTAAGCCCTGCAGTCTGAATGTAATCATGATATTTTGTTAACGGATTGAGCATTAAGCCCTGCACTGTGTAACTGAATGTAGCTAATGATATGCACTTTGAATTACTTTGTTACGAATTGGTGTATTTTGGTTATTGTTACGTCCTTACTTCTAATAAAGTTTTTCAGATTTTTAATATTTTCTGTTTGTCTCTTCTTCTTCCATAGGGGTTCGGTCCCTGTCTGCTTTACCCTCTCCACATCGCCCCCTAGCGTCCACCGTCCGCCATGTTTAACCTCATGAAAAAGGACAAGGAGCGGGACAGCGTGAGGAAGGAGAAGAAGAAGAATGAGCGTATGTCCGCGGCGGAACTGCGGAGCCTCGAGGAGATGAGCATGCGCCGCGGCTTCTTCAACCTCAAACGCGAAGCGAAACGAGAGTCCAAAAACAAACTCGAGATCTCCAACCCCATCCCCATCAAAGTGGTCAGCGGGAGCGAGCTGACGCTGACGGATATCGAGTCGGACGGGCTGAGTAACCGGAGTAACAGGAGCAGCGTGGTGTTGGACGGGCAGCTGAGCGGGGCCAGTTCCACGGACGACCTGAAGGGGGAGTCCTCGCAGGATTCGCACAGAGGCTCCGTCAGGGATCGAGTGGCTCATTTTGGATCGTTGGCCAAACAGAACTCTTCACAGGTAGGACAGGTGAGTTTGAATGATGATTTTCAATAATTTCTAATTGAACTTTACGGATTTTGTCAAGTTAAATCCAGTAATGATGTAAATATATGTAAAATTTGTGATTTAACCTTATTGAAATCTGTCAATCTGGTTAGATGATTCACTGTTTAATGCTCAGAATTAAATAGCCCGATTCATCAGTCGGTTTCACTTCGTGGAAACCGTCTGACCTCAGAGCATTAGGATATAATATCGTACCGTGAGGATATCGTATTGTGAGACTTGGATATCATTACACCAAGGGCTAGGCGATACGGAGCAAAAAATATATCTGGATATATTTTATTATATCTCTATATACGATATATATCTCGATCTGTCCAGGAAAAATAACCCCCAAAACTACAGCAAAAAACAAATATGCCAAATTCCACATTTTGTTACTGAAGTGGTAGAAGTGGCAGCAGTTCATGTAGGAACAAAGTGCTTCTGCCACATTTAAAGTTACGAAAAAATCCTTGATCACATAAATAATAATTTAACTGTAAAATAAAATAAATAATACATATTTCCTTCTTTTCAGTCAGAAATAAAACAACTCAACCCATGCTCATCTTTGCATTAACCGTACAATAACCTTGAGCTCCTTCAGCAGAGGAAGTTCATGAGGTTCCTTATTTTAGCACACATGTTCCTCAAAAGTGTAAGGAGCGCTGAGGTTTCCCACAATCCACTGCAGATCAAACCCAATGTTTCCAAACACTGTTGTACAAGTTACACTGCAGCAGATTATTGATTAAAATCTTCTGCATAAATATTCTTTACAACATTTAAAGCATAACGACTTTAGAGCCACATCAGCCCATTTGAGATTATAATGTGTTTAATGCAGTTTTGCGCACATGTGTTTATGTTTTACAGAAATGAAAACTTAAAACCACATGACTCATTTGCATAAACATCATGCTCCTTGTGTCGCTAATGTGGTTCAGCTTCTTTCAGACTAAAGGACACGACTCAGTGGAATATGTGTGTTTTCTCTGTGAGGATGTGCTGCTGATGGTCTTGTCTGTAAATGGTGGAAAAGGTTCGTGGTGCTTGAAACTTTTCACTGGCACCAACTTTCGGTGTTCACGGTGGTAGTGAGGAGTGAATGAGACACAAGCAGCAAAATCAGGGAGGTGGGGGCGCACGGAGGCAAAAGAAGGCAAGAAGAGAAGGCAAACCAAGCGAAATCGGCAAAAATCAGAATTGAATATAAGCATTATATCGATATACATCATACCATATGTCAGAATCCATATCGAGTTTAAAAAATATCTTGATATATTTAAAATATCGCAATATCGCCCACTCCTAGTTACACCCCTACCAGTTAAGATTGAGTATCGTCCAAAAGCACAGATGGGTCCGGTCAAGCGGTAACGGAGGAAAAAGGGGCAGATTTTTTACATTCAAATGTCTCTTATTCAGAAACTAGAGGGACTATTGAAATAAGTAAAGTATCAGAATGTAGGAAAGAGTTAACACTCCAACAGGGTCAAGTTAAACCTGTGATATTCTTTCAAGTTGTTGACAAAAAATTTTAAAACTCATGTCGGTAACGGAGGGAATGAAATATGCAGCACTTTTTGGGCAATAAATCCAAACAGTGATAACTCTTGGTTCTCACTTACATATCCTTAACAAACTGGTTTGAATATTTGCTTCATAAAGTTTTCTACCATATGGTACAAGATTAGGTTGAAAAACCTCTTACTTTTTGAGTCATGAGATTTTTTATTAAGAAAGGTCATGGTAACGGAGGGAAAAGTAACAGAGGGAAAATTGTGCAAACAAGTAGAAGGTGCAGGATTTTACATAATTTGTCAACTTTTTTCTTCTGAATACTTTAATATTACTTCAAAATGAAAGGAAACTATTTCTATAAAATATGTCAGTCCTTCCAAACTAATTTTTATCATTTTAAATAATTTTTTTTTTTTGAAAAATCATGTACCTTCATCATTCACAGTTCAAAGATCGAATAACACAAGATATGATGAAATATATCAATTTATTTACATGATTTTCAGGTCTTTGAAATTTGGGAAATAATTTTTTGTTCCATGTTTCGTACATGGTCTGTTTAAAACATATGTAACTTTAGAACCAAAAAGGTAAACAGTTTCATAAACTAGAGTACATATGTATCTGTTCAATACATTTTTATATCAGATGCATTAACTTGAATTTTTGGCCTTGTTGTTTACTTCTGCTTGACTGAGCCCAGATACCATTTGGCTGATTTCGCTGTAATGAAAGAGTAAACCCTGTCATCGCTGTTTTTGTTTTCCTCTCCTCAGATGATGAAGCGCTTTTCTTTCTCCCAGCGGAGCAAAGAGGAGAGCCCATCCGAAGGCTCCACCCCGTCGGGCCCAAACTCCGCCGCTCCCTCCCCTCAGGTGGAGAACAAAGTCTTCAACATGCTTCGCAAACACAGCCTCAAACAACCGCCCGGAACCCCGCCTCCAGACCCGCCCTCCGCCCCGCGTCCGCCCCGCCGGCCAAACGCGCCTGCATCCCCGAGCTCGTGCCCAAAACCTTCCCCGCCCACCTCCAGCTGCCCCCCGTCATCGCCCCCAACGCGCCCCAAACGCGAGAGCTGGAGCTGCAACGACGCAATACCGGAGATTTTGGATTTTCGCTGCGCAGGACGACCATGTTGGATCGTAGTCCGGACGGAGGCGTGTACCGGAGGGTGGTCCATTTCGCCGAACCTGGAGCGGGCACCAAGGATCTGGCGTTGGGTTTGGTTCCCGGAGACAGGCTCGTGGAGATCAACGGGAGAAACGTGGAGAATAAAAGCAGGGATGAGATCGTGGAGATGATTCGGCAAAGTGGAGATACCGTCAGGCTCAAAGTGCAGCCGATTCTGGAGCTGAGCGAGCTGAGCCGATGCTGGTTAAGGAATACGGAAGGGCTACGGAGAGACGAAAGACAGGTGAGTAAATTACAGTATTTTTTTACGCTAAAATGTTGATACGATGTGATTTTCGGGTGTTTTTATAAAGAGAAGGTTGGCGAATGCAAAATTTCATGATGATTTCTTTGTTTGTGGAATATTTTGTCTATAAAATCAAGCGTAACATTTATTTTCTTGGCTTTTTAGTTGTTTGGTGGATGGATAAGTTGATTTGCATAACTTTGTTGAGTTTGTAAAGAGCTTTCTGCAATGAATCCGTGTATCATTCGTTCATTCGGTTTTCAAAATAAAACCAAAAATAAGAAAACGAAAAATTTACTATTTTCTTCGTTATTTATCCCCATAACAAAAATTAAAAACGGATAATGATTCGTTTTTTCAGATTTCGATTTTGTGTTTACTTGAGTAATGGAAAGATGCGATGCCGGACTGAACCAGGACTCAACCAGGTCTGAACCAGGTCTGAACCAGGACTGAACCAGGACTGAACCAGGACTGATCCAAGGACAGAACCAGGACTGATCCTTGGGCTAAAACAGAACTGAATCAGGTCTAAACCAGGACTGAACCGGGACTGAACCCGGGACTAAACCAGGTCTGGTCCCAGTCATAGTTCCAGTCCCAGTCTCTGTCCCAGTCTGGTCCCGGTCTGGTCCTGGTCTGGCCTCGGCCTCAGTCCTGATCACCCGACAATGTATGAAGGTGCACCTCTGGGCCCGTCCCGACACTCAGTCCTGGTTTGGTCCTGGTTCAGTCTTGGTTTAGACCTGCTTTAGTCCTGTTTTTGTCCTGGTTCAGTCTTGGTTCAGTCCGTATTTAGCGCAAAAGTCCAGCGTTGCAGTTTAAGTCACAAAAACGGGAAAACAATTTATTCTGTTGTTCATTTAAACACAAAATCGAAAACTGAAAAATCTAATCATTATCGTTTTCCACTTTTTGGAGACAAATATTTTCATTTTTTTATTTTTCGTTTTATTTTGAAAAACAAATAAACGAACGATACACGGATTCATTTGCTTTAGACCTGTTTTAGTCTTGGTTTATGCTGGCTTTATCCCTAGGTTTAAAATTTTTTTGGGGTGACATATTGGTTTCAGTATCGGTATCGGCCTTTATTGATTGATTTTTTGACGATTTTGAACAGACTAGTGAGTGACAATGGAAATAGAAGAGAGTTATTTGGCTGTACCTTTACACAAACATATAACAAACTATTTTATATGCCAGATAAATACATTTGTGTTTTGATTTTTACAGAAGTGGAAAGTTAATTTGACCTCGCTATGGATTTTGAAAGCTAAATATCGAAATTTTGGAGATTATGGGTTATTGGCAACAACAGTAGGCCAAATATCGGATATCGGTGTCCATTTCGATCTCGTTTAGTCCTGCTCTTTTGCAAATTGTATATCTGCGTTGAAACATGTGGCCCACAAAAGATGCATTTAGCTCTGAGCCGTGTCTTTATTCTGTCATTATTTGCTGGTTTCCGAGAGCAGAATGAGTTTCTGTTTGGATTCGTGACAAAAATACTTGAGAGCCTGATCATATTTGTAATGGTTTCGTGCAAGTATTCGTGTGGAGTCGTTTGAAGTTTTGTGGTATTCTTCACTGGATAAACCCGTGACGCATTTTTAAGTTATGCAACAAAACGAGAGTGAATCCCAGAGTCCCGAGTCTTTGTATTTGCGGTTTTCAGGTCCTAGATTGTGAGCACGTTTTACTCTCAGATGAGGGTTAAAGGTCATATGATAACATTGTACGTGAGCCTGATATTTTCAAAAGTATTTTAAAAAATGTGTGATTAATACGGATGGAACAAGACAAGACAAGATTTTTACATAATTCATAGATAAATTTCACGATTCAGGTTCCAATTTATTCCAATTATTTTGTGTTTCCATTCTAGTTCTGCTTTTTGGAAAGGTAAGAGCTGGAACTTGCCAAGTATTTGACCTGTATAAACGTTTATTAATAAATATTGTTGTGCTAGATTTATAAATGTCATTAATTATCACTATCATTGCAAAAACAACTATTTTATTCTCTATAAATTGTTTTAGCCGATCCATTCTTCTTTAGTATTTTCTTTAGTTTTTATTCCATCCTCAGCATTTCCTTCACTTGTTGCCCTGGTTTAGTCCTGATTTAGTCCTGGTTTAGTCTGTTTAGTCCTTTAGTCTCTGTTTAGTCCTCTGGTTAGGTTCCCTGTTTTAGTCCTGGTTTAGTCCTGATTTAGTTCAGGGTTTAGTCTTGGTTTTGTCTCTTTTAGTCCTCTTGTTTAGTCCTCTGGTTTAGCCCTGGTTTAGTGCTGATTTAGCCCAGATTTAGTCCTGGTTTAGTCCTGGTTTAGTCCTCTGGTTTAACCCTGTTTAGTCTCTGGTTTAGTCTCCTCTTAGTCACCGTTTAGTCTCTGTTTAGTCCTCTGGTTAGGTCCCCTGGTTTAGTCCTGATTTAGTCCAGGTTTAATCTTGGTTTATTCTTGTTTGGTCTCTTTTAGTCCTCTTGTTTAGTCCTCTGGTTTAGTCCTGGTTTAGCCCTGATTTAGTCCTAGTTTAGTCCTGGTTTAGCCCTGGTTTAATCCTAGTTTAGTCCTGGTTTAGTCTCTGTTTAGTCCTCAGGTTTAGTCCTGGTTCCGTCCTGGTTTAGTCCTCTGGTTTAGTCCTCTGGTTTAGTCCTCTGGTTTAGTCCTCTAGTTTAGTCCAGATTTAGTCCAGGTTTAGTCCAGGTTTAGTCCAGGTTAATCCTGGTTTAGTCCTGGTTTAGTCCTGGTTCAGTCCTGTTTTAGCCCTGGTTCTTCATACAACAAAACCTGTAATTGGGATAAAATGAATATATTTAATTTATTGAATAATATATTTGATTTCTTTTCACTTTTTTCAATTTTCACTCTTTACTGCTTCTACAAAAACTGAACTAAAAGAAATAACATCTGCACTGCACCGTTATAAAGCACTTATGTAACAATAAAGATAGTTTTTTTATGAGACAAGAGCAGGAAGGAAAACGAAGTGAGTTAGCTGAAGGTTTTTTTTTTTTTGTATTTACATGTAAAAAATCAGATTAAACAAGTTAAATCTGACTTTACGTATATACAGTATTATTTCTTCTGTATAAATAGTTTGGCATGAGTTCTCTTTGCAGGTGTAGTCTCGTGAGGGCAGTTTGATCAGGCCGCGTCTCATTTCTCCTTCCTCGCCTCCTTCTCCTTGATTCCTCTCCTCAGTTCTGCAGGAAACGGGTGAAGAAGTCCCGCCCAGAGGAGACAAAGCGAGGAGAGAGGATATAAACCCCACACTGAGACCAATAAAGTTTGATTCTTTTATCTGATGTCTGAAGCCTCGCTCGGGTTTACTCCTTCCTTCCGTGGTTTTCTTTTTTTTTTTGGGACGCTACAGCTGAAAAACGAAGGATTCAAGGAAAAGGAAGCGAGACAGAGTAGTTTTGAGAGCTTTTTTAACCACGTATTGACTTTTCTGTTAACCACTAACGCGAGTCCACGTGACCACGGTGAATCAATGTCTGAATCCGTGCAGTTATAAATAGACTGTTTCATAATATTTGTCATTGAAAACGAGTGAACTTGGACTGCAGGGGTGTTGGGATCTGCTTTGTCCTCTTACATAATATTGACTCGGGGCAAAGGGTTGAGTTACTGGCTTTGAGCTAAACACATTTTCAATTTTTTTTATTTTTTTTTATGAACCTGCAAAATGTAGACACTTGAAATATTCCCTGAAATATTTAAGTTACAACTTGCAACTAAAACGTTTTGGTATTTGAACATAAATGGACCGACATTAAAAGCTGAAAATGTTTGTGAAAATTATAACTAAAACTTGTCCTGGTTTAGTCCTGGTTTAGTCCTGGTTTAGTGCTGGTTTAGACCTGGTTTAGTTTACAATTTTACATAGTGCTGGTTTAGACCTGGTTTAGTTTACAATTTTACATATGTTGACTCTGCAAACAAATTAATTATTAGAAATTATGTTTAGTCCTGCTTCAGTCCTGGTTTAGTTCTAGATTAAACCTGGTCGAGTCCAGGTTTAGTTTTGCCTTAGTGCCATTCTAGTCCTTCTTTAGTCCTGTTTTATTTCCATTGTAGTCCTGGTTTAGTTCTGGTTTAATCCTGGTTGAGCCCTGGTTTGGTCCTAGTTTAGTCCTGGTTTAGACCTTGTTCAGCCCTGGTTCAGCCCTGGTTTAGACCTAGTTTAGAACTGTTTTAGACCTGGTTTAGTCCTGGTTTAGTTTGGGTTCTTGTGGACAGATGGCAGTACTGTCTGCCCTGATTTAGGCCTGGTTTAGTCCTAGTTTACTCCCGATTCAGTCCTTGTTCAGCCCTGGTTTAAACCTGGTTTAATCCTGGTTCAGCCCTGGTTTAGACCTAGTTTAGACCTCATTTAGACCTGGTTTAGTCCTGTTTTCGTCTGGATTCTTGTGGATAGATGGTGGTCCTGTCTGCCCTGGTTTAGTCCTGGTTCAGTCCTGGTTCAGCCCTAGTTTATTCCTGGTTTTATTCCTGATTTAGAACTAGTTTAGCCATGGATTAGTCCTCGTTTAGTCCTTGTTTAATCCTGGTTTAGTCCTGGTTTAGACCTGGTTTAGTCCTGGTTTAGTCTTGGTTCAACCCTGGTTTAGTCCTGGTTCAGTCCTGGTTCAGCCCTGGTTTAGTCTTGGTTCAGCCCTGGTTCAGTCCTGGATTAGTCCTGATTTAGTCCTGGTTCAGCCCTGGTTCAGCCCTGGTTCAGTCCTGGTTTAGTCCTGGTTTAGTCCTGGTTCAGCCCTGGTTTAGTCCTGGTTCAGCCCTGGTTTAGTCCTGGTTTAGTCCTGGTTCAGCCCTGATTTAGTCCTGTTTTAGTCCTGGTTTAGTCCTATTTTAGCCCTGTTTTAGCCCTGGTTTAGTCCTGTTTTAGCCCTGTTTTAGTCCTGTTTTAGCCCTGGTTTAGTCCTGGTTTAGTTCTGGTTTAGTCCTGTTTTAGCCCTGGTTTAGTCCTGGTTTAGTCCTGTTTTAGCCCTGGTTTAGTCCTGGTTTAGTTTTGGTTTAGCCCTGGTTTAGTCCTGTTTTAGCCCTGTTTTAGCCCTGGTTTAGTCTTGGTTTAGCCCTGATTTAGTCCTGTTTTAGCCCTGTTTTAGCCCTGGTTTAGTCCTGGTTTAGCCCTGGTTTAGTCCTGGTTTAGTCCTGGTTTAGTCCTGGTTTAGTCCTGGTTCAGCCCTGATTTAGTCCTGTTTTAGCCCTGGTTTTAGCCCTGTTTTAGTCCTGGTTTAGCCCTGGTTTAGCCCTGGTTTAGACCTGGTTTAGTCCTGGTTTAGTCCTGGTTCTTGTGGACAGATGGCGGTCCTGTCTGCTCTGTTGTTGAACTGGCTTCTGTTCTTTGACCTCGTGACTCGGGTTAAAACGGCTCTTTTCTCTCTTTCACTTTGAGCCTTTGTGTCCCGGACGTTTACTGGAAACTCACTTTGTCCCTGGATTTAACGGGAAGAACATGACTCCTGCCCAAGCCTTTCTGTGTGGAGTTTGCATGTTCTGCCTGTGTCTGGGTTTGAATAGGTCCAGGACAAAGGTTTTTCTGAGTCCGCGTCATATGTCTGTGATCTCTCAAACGTTAAAGCTCCAGGACACGGGGGTTTATTATTCTAAGACTGACATTTATGTTCTGGTTTAGTGCCGGTTTAGACTTGGTTTAGTCCTGCTTTAGATCTGCTTTAGTCTGGTTTTAAGCCCTTTTTAGTTCAGGGTTAGTCTTGATGTATTCCTGGTTTAGTCTTGCTTTATTCCAGATTTAGTCCTGGTTTAGTCCTGGTTTAATCCTGGTTTAGTCCTGGTGTACTTCTACTTTTGTCCCGTTTTAGTTCAGGTTTAGTTCAGGTTTAATTTAGGTTTAGTCCAGGTTTAGTTCTGGTGTATTTCTGGTTTAGCCCCAGTTTAGTCCCAGTGTAGTCCTGGTTTAGTCCCGGTTTAATGCTAGTTTAGTCCTGGTGTAGTCCTGGTTTAGGGCTGGTTTAGTCTTGCTTTAGTCCAGGTTTAGCCCCAGTTTAGTCTCTGTTTAGTCCTGGTTTAAGTCTAGTTTAGTCCTGGTGTAGTCCTAGTTTAGCGCTGGTTTAGTCTTGCTTTAGTCCAGGTTTAGCCCCAGTTTAGTCTCTGTTTAGTCCTGGTTTAATTCTAGTTTAGTCCTGGTGTAGTCCTGGTGTAGTTCTGGTTTAGCACCAGTTTAGTCTTGCTTTAGTCCAGGTTTAGTCCAGGTTTTAGTGCAGGTTTAGTCCAGGTGTATTCCTGGTTTAGCCCCAGTTTAGTGTCTGTTTAGTCCTGGTTTAATTCTAGTTTAGTCCTGGTGTAGTCCTGGTAGTCCTGGTGTAGTCCTGGTGTAGTTCTGGTGTAGTCCTGGTGTAGTTCTGGTGTAGTCCTGGTGTAGTCCTGGTGTAGTCCGAGCGTAGTCCTGGTTTAGCCCCGGTTTAGACTATTTAGTCCGTCTTAATCCAGGTTTAGTTCTGGTGTAGTCCTGGTTTAGCCCCAGTTTAGTCTCTGTTTAGTCCTGGTTTAATTCTAGTTTAGTCCTTGCGTAGACCTGGTTTAATTCTAGTTTAGTCCTGGCGTAGTCCTGGCGTAGTCCTGTTGTAGTCCTGTTGTAGTCTGTTGTAGTCCTGTTGTAGTCTGGTGTAGTCCTGGCGTAGTCCTGGCGTAGTCCTGGTGTAGTCCTGGTGTAGTCCTGGTGTAGTCCTGGCGTAGTCCTGGCGTAGTCCTGGTGTAGTCCTGGCGTAGTCCTGGTGTAGTCCTGGTGTAGTCTTGGTTTAGTCCTGGTTTAGTCCTAGTTTACACCTGGTTTTAGTCCTGGTTTAGACCTAGTTTAGACCTAGTTTAGACCTGGTTTAGACCCTGGTTTAGTGTCTGGCAATGAATGAAATTACAGAAAAAAAGGGGGGATATAGCCCAAAATGTAAAAAAACAGTTTCATTCATTCATTTCATTTCAACAAAGTAACTGTAATCCAATTACCACTCACTGAAACAGTAACTGAATACAGTTCCTCATAATTTGTACTCTGATTACGTAACGCCGATACATGTAATCTGTTACTCCCCAACACTGCTAATCTGCATGCAGAAGATTTTAATGAAGAATCTGTTGGGTTTGATGTGTGCAGTGGATTGTGGGATATCTCATAGCTCCATAGCGCTGGTTAAACCTCCCGAGCTTCGTGGTTTGTATTTTTCCTGGTTTATTCATATAAATTAAGTTAAATTTTGCACTTGCGCATTTGTAAGATTACGTCAAGAAAACAGGATACTCCATTTGATCATGTACACAGGGATATGAGTGTCTGGGAATTAAAAAAAAAAACTGGGATATGTCTAATAACCGGGATAGTGATGTGCATGTATACACACTCACTGATTACAAAACAGACACATTGTAAAACCCGACGGCAGTAATTGTGATTTGATACAATTTGGATTGATTGCGCTTTCATACTGACCTCTAAACCACTCACGAAACAAACATGGAGCTCAAAATGAAGGGTTATTCAGAGTGTGACAAAGTGTTTCATGTTTGTGATTGTAACGAGGTTGAGTCGGTTGTTTTTGGAGCTGTTTTTGCCGTGTCATGTGGCCCAGTCAGATGTGTGAGACGTGAGAGTCTTGAGTTTAGAGGTGTAACTTATAGGACTTCCTATGCAAACAGTGTCAAAAGCAGAAGCTCATAACGCTTTATCTGACCTCTTTGACCTCACTCATGATTCTTAACGCCGATAGAAAGCAATTTACCAAAAAAGAAGACAGAATTTGTTGCTGTTTTCAGAGTACGTGACAAGAATTTGTAACCAGCCACTTCTATCAACCGCACCACTCTCACTTCCTTCCTCTGCCCTCGCCTCCTCCGCCCCTTGTATCACCTCTGTCCTTTCTTTCTCTTCTCTACCTCTCTCCTCCTCTCCTCTCTCTTTCTTCTTTCTCCTCCTTTCTGTATTCACTTTCTGATCTTTCTGTCCCCTCTCTTTTTTTTTTTTCTGGCTCTTTCTTTGTCTCTCCTTCTCCCTTTGGCTCTCTTTTCTCCCTCCTGCTTTATCTTTCCTTTTTTCCTCTCTCTTCTTCCTCCCCCTCTCTATATTCACTTTCTTCTCTTTCTGTCCCCATCTTTTTTCTTTCTTTCTATCTCCCTCTCTCTTTGTCGCTCCTCTTTCTTTCTGTCTCTCTTTCCTTTCCCTCCCTAACCTCTTCTCTCTCCCTCTCCTGCTTTTTTCTTTCCTTCTCTCCTCTTTCTTCTTCCTCCCCCTCTCTATGTTCACTTCCTTCTTTCTTTGCCCCCCCTCTTATTTTCTCTCATTACCCTCCTCCCTAATCTCCTCTCTCTCCCTCTCCTGCTTTTTCTTTCCTTCACTCTTCTCTCTCTTCTTCCTCTCCCTTTCTATATTTACTTTCTTCTCCTTCTGCCTCCCTATTTCTTTCTTTCTCTCTCTCTCTCTCTCTCCCTCCCTACCTGACCCTCCTTTCTTCTCTTTTTTCCCCCCTCTTTCTTTCTGTCTCTCTCTTTGTCTCTCATCTCTCTCTCTCTTTCCCTCCTTCCCCCTCCCTAACCTCCTCTCTCTCCCTCTCCTGCTTTTTCTCTCCTTCTCTCCTCTCCACCCGCCCCCTCTCTCCTTCTCTCCTCTCTCTTTCTTCTCCCTCCCCCTTCTCTCTTTCTTTCTGTCTCTCGTTGTCTCTCCTCTCTCTCATTTTCTCTCTCTTTCTCTCTCTTTTTCTGTCCTCTCCTCCCTCCCTAACCTCTCGTCTCTCTTTCTTTCTGTCTCTCTCTTTGTCTCTCCTTCTCTCTCTCTCGTCTCTCTTTTTCTCTTTCTTTCTCTGTATCATTTTATCTCTCTCCTCCCTAACCTTCTCTCCTCTCTCTTCTTCCACCCCCTCTCTTTATTTACTTTCTTGTCTTTCTGCTCTCTCTTTGTCTCTTCTCCTCTTAAACTCCTCCTCCACCCTCTTAACCCGCTCTCTCTCTGTCTCGTCTCTTTCTTTCCTGACAGAGCCGGAGTGGGCGTCTCTCCCGGTGGGCGTGCTCGTGTGTCAGGCGTGTTCTCTGCTGCACCGGAGCATCCCTCACATCACCCGGGTCAAGTCTGTGCAGGACACGTGGGAGCCCAGCGAAGTGGAGGTAAAGGCACGGACACTCACCCGACATGGCCGCCAATCATCACCGAGACCACACTTCTACAGTCACAGTACAAATATTCAGTCAAGTCAATCAAAAAGGTTCAGGCTAAAACTGAGATCTGAAATGTACGAAGTATTTATTATCAGTGTTGGGCAAGTTACTTCAAAACTGTAATGTGTAAGTAAGTAATTAGTTACATTACAATATTACTGTATTTAAAATGTAAGGTATTACACGACTATTGCAGTACTTTAAGTTACTCTCACCAAAATAACTGTGCCAAGATGCTGAACTTTTGTGCCGTAAAATGGACTGAGCCAGGATTGAACCAGAGCTGAACCAGGACTAAACCAGGTCTAAACCAGGAAAAAAACAGGTCTAAACCAGGTCTAAACTGGGTCTGAACCAGGACTAAACCAGGTCTAAAACAGGACTAAACAAGGACTAAACCAGAGTTGACCTAGCACTGAACCAAGACTAAACCAGAGCTGAACCAGGACTGAACCAGGACTAAACCAGGTCTAAACCAGGACTAAACCAGAACTGAACCAGGACTGAACCAGGACTAAACCAGGACTAAACCAGGTCTAAACCAGGACTAAACCAGAGCTGAACCAGAGCTGAACCAGGATTAAACCAGGTCTAAACCAGGACTAAACCAAAACTGAACCAGCGCTGACCCCAGACTAAATCAGGACTAAACCAGAACTGAACCAGAACTGAACCGGAACTGAACCAGGAATAAACCAGGTCTAAACCAGGACTAAACCAGAATTAAACCAGGTCTAAACCTGGACTAAACCAGGACTACACCAGTGCTGAACTAGGACTGAACCAGGACAAAACCAGGACTAAACCAAAACTGAACCAGGACTAAACCAGAACTGACCCAGGTCTAAACCAGGTCTAAAAAGTGTGGAGCTCTGCACCAGTCCTTTCACTCGCGGTTACCTGACGGTCTACGCGGGCACGTGTCTGGTGTTTCACCGCTGCTGCTATCACGGCGATTTTAGCAAATTTGTATGAAGAAAAACCCACCACTTCAGTCCAGGTTAAAAAAGCATTTTAATGCGTGTTACTGACATTTGTACCGAGTAAAATATGACAATTTTCCCTGTAATGCATTGCAATTACAACAAAAATGCATTACAGTAATTTGTTACTGTTAAAACACATTACTCTCAACACTGTTTATTATAGCCTAATAATGTCAAAATCTCATCTTCAATCTCATGTCTCGTGTTGTGTAAATTGTATCTCGTCCCACCCCCACAAAACAAAACATGTCACTCAAGTAATGAAAGTGACACTCGCTCATTTAGTCACTTAAGTGTCTTGAAGGTGGAAAAGCGCTGTGTAAAAATGTGAGCGTGAGCAAACCCTGTGTGTGTTTTAGAGTTCACACTGGTGTCACATCATGTCATTGTGAATAGAAAAATGTTTTATTAAAATGTGAACATTATCCATTAGGGGTGTAACGGTACAAAAATCACGGTTCGGTACGTACCTCGGTTTTGAGGTCACGTTTCGGTTCATTTTCGGTGCAGTATGGGAACAAAATGCAATGCAATTTGTTTTAAAATTATACAAATGGGAAAATAAAATAAATGCAAAGTGCTGCTTGGTAATACTAATAAGTAAAATAAAATATTCTCAAAAAAGCAACAAATGTATGAAATATGAGAAAAAATAAATTCCTTGTAAACTGTAAACAAAACTTTTCAAAAAGTAAACCACAGCACTAACAGTTCTAGCATGAAGTTTTACTCAGTCTTCATATTTTTTTGACCAGAAAAACCAACTTGTCCACATTATCTGCAGTAAGTGCAGTTCTGCTGCAGTTAGAATGTCCCCAGCGGCTGAAAATACACTTTTGAGACAGAGGTTGGGGGTATGTGNTTCAGATTTTTATATTTTCTGTTTGTCTCTTCTTCTTCCGTAGGGGTTCGGTCCCTGTCTGCTTTACCCTCTCCACATCGCCCCCTAGCGTCCACCGTCCGCCATGTTTAACCTCATGAAAAAGGACAAGGAGCGGGACAGCGTGAGGAAGGAGAAGAAGAAGAATGAGCGTATGTCCGCGGCGGAACTGCGGAGCCTCGAGGAGATGAGCATGCGCCGCGGCTTCTTCAACCTCAAACGCGAAGCGAAACGAGAGTCCAAAAACAAACTCGAGATCTCCAACCCCATCCCCATCAAAGTGGTCAGCGGGAGCGAGCTGACGCTGACGGATATCGAGTCGGACGGGCTGAGTAACCGGAGTAACAGGAGCAGCGTGGTGTTGGACGGGCAGCTGAGCGGGGCCAGTTCCACGGACGACCTGAAGGGGGAGTCCTCGCAGGATTCGCACAGAGGCTCCGTCAGGGATCGAGTGGCTCATTTTGGATCGTTGGCCAAACAGAACTCTTCACAGGTAGGACAGGTGAGTTTTGAATGATGATTTTCAATAATTTCTAATTGAACTTTACGGATTTTGTCAAGTTAAATCCAGTAATGATGTAAATATATGTAAAATTTGTGATTTAACCTTATTGAAATCTGTCAATCTGGTTAGATGATTCACTGTTTAATGCTCAGAATTAAATAGCCCGATTCATCAGTCGGTTTCACTTCGTGGAAACCGTCTGACCTCAGAGCATTAGGATATAATATCGTACCGTGAGGATATCGTATTGTGAGACTTGGATATCATTACACCTAGGGCTGGGCGATACGGAGCAAAAAATATATCTGGATATATTTTATTATATCTCTATATACGATATATATCTCGATCTGTCCAGGAAAAATAACCCCCAAAACTACAGCAAAAAACAAATATGCCAAATTCCACATTTTGTTACTGAAGTGGTGGTAGAAGTGGCAGCAGTTCATGTAGGAACAAAGTGCTTCTGCCACATTTAAAGTTACGAAAAAATCCTTGATCACATAAATAATAATTTAACTGTAAAATAAAATAAATAATACATATTTCCTTCTTTTCAGTCAGAAATAAAACAACTCAACCCATGCTCATCTTTGCATTAACCGTACAATAACCTTGAGCTCCTTCAGCAGAGGAAGTTCAGTTCATGAGGTTCCTTATTTTAGCACACATGTTCCTCAAAAGTGTAAGGAGCGCTGAGGTTTCCCACAATCCACTGCAGATCAAACCCAATGTTTCCAAACACTGTTGTACAAGTTACACTGCAGCAGATTATTGATTAAAATCTTCTGCATAAATATTCTTTACAACATTTAAAGCATAACGACTTTAGAGCCACATCAGCCCATTTGAGATTATAATGTGTTTAATGCAGTTTTGCGCACATGTGTTTATGTTTTACAGAAATGAAACTTAAAACCACATGACTCATTTGCATAAACATCATGCTCCTTGTGTCGCTAATGTGGTTCAGCTTCTTTCAGACTAAAGGACACGACTCAGTGGAATATGTGTGTTTTCTCTGTGAGGATGTGCTGCTGATGGTCTTGTCTGTAAATGGTGGAAAAGGTTCGTGGTGCTTGAAACTTTTCACTGGCACCAACTTTCGGTGTTCACGGTGGTAGTGAGGAGTGAATGAGACACAAGCAGCAAAATCAGGGAGGTGGGGGCGCACGGAGGCAAAAGAAGGCAAGAAGAGAAGGCAAAACAAGCGAAATCGGCGAAAATCAGAATTGAATATAAGCATTATATCTATACATCATACCATATGTCAGAATCCATATCGAGTTTAAAAAATATCTTGATATATTTAAAATATCGCAATATCGCCCACTCCTAGTTACACCCCTACCAGTTAAGATTGAGTATCGTCCAAAAGCACAGATGGGTCCGGTCAAGCGGTAACGGAGGAAAAAGGGGCAGATTTTTTACATTCAAATGTCTCTTATTCAGAAACTAGAGGGACTATTGAAATAAGTAAAGTATCAGAATGTAGGAAAGAGTTAACACTCCAACAGGGTCAAGTTAAACCTGTGATATTCTTTCAAGTTGTTGACAAAAAATTTTAAAACTCATGTCGGTAACGGAGGGAATGAAATATGCAGCACTTTTGGGCAATAAATCCAAACAGTGATAACTCTTGGTTCTCACTTACATATCCTTAACAAACTGGTTTGAATATTTGCTTCATATAGTTTTCTACCATATGGTACAAGATTAGGTTGAAAAACCTCTTACTTTTTGAGTCATGAGATTTTTTATTAAGAAAGGTCATGGTAACGGAGGGAAAATTGTGCAAACAAGTAGAAGGTGCAGGATTTTACATAATTTGTCAACTTTTTTCTTCTGAATACTTTAATATTACTTCAAAATGAAAGGAAACTATTTCTATAAAATATGTCAGTCCTTCCAAGCTAATTTTTATCATTTTTAAATAATTTTTTTTTTTGAAAAATCATGTACCTTCATTCAGTTCACAGTTCAAAGATCGAATAACACAAGATATGATGAAATATATCAATTTATTTACATGATTTTCAGGTCTTTGAAATTTGGGAAATAATTTTTGTTCCATGTTTCGTACATGGTCTGTTTAAAACATATGTAACTTTAGAACCAAAAAGGTAAACAGTTTCATAAACTAGAGTACATATGTATCTGTTCAATACATTTTTATATCAGATGCATTAACTTGAATTTTTGGCCTTGCTGTTTACTTCTGCTTGACTGAGCCCAGATACCATTTGGCTGATTTCGCTGTAATGAAAGAGTAAACCCTGTCATCGCTGTTTTTGTTTTCCTCTCCTCAGATGATGAAGCGCTTTTCTTTCTCCCAGCGGAGCAAAGAGAGAGAGCCCATCCGAAGGCTCCACCCCGTCGGGCCCAAACTCCGCCGCTCCCTCCCCTCAGGTGGAGAACAAAGTCTTCAACATGCTTCGCAAACACAGCCTCAAACAACCGCCCGGAACCCCGCCTCCAGACCCGCCCTCCGCCCCCGCGTCCGCCCCGCCGGCCAAACGCGCCTGCATCCCCGAGCTCGTGCCCAAAACCTTCCCCGCCCACCTCCAGCTGCCCCCCGTCATCGCCCCCAACGCGCCCCAAACGCGAGAGCTGGAGCTGGAGCTGCAACGACGCAATACCGGAGATTTTGGATTTTCGCTGCGCAGGACGACCATGTTGGATCGTAGTCCGGACGGAGGCGTGTACCGGAGGGTGGTCCATTTCGCCGAACCTGGAGCGGGCACCAAGGATCTGGCGTTGGGTTTGGTTCCCGGAGACAGGCTCGTGGAGATCAACGGGAGAAACGTGGAGAATAAAAGCAGGGATGAGATCGTGGAGATGATTCGGCAAAGTGGAGATACCGTCAGGCTCAAAGTGCAGCCGATTCTGGAGCTGAGCGAGCTGAGCCGATGCTGGTTAAGGAATACGGAAGGGCTACGGAGAGACGAAAGACAGGTGAGTAAATTACAGTATTTTTTTACGCTAAAATGTTGATACGATGTGATTTTCGGGTGTTTTTATAAAGAGAAGGTTGGCGAATGCAAAATTTCATGATGATTTCTTTGTTTGTGGAATATTTTGTCTATAAAATCAAGCGTAACATTTATTTTCTTGGCTTTTTAGTTGTTTGGTGGATGGATAAGTTGATTTGCATAACTTTGTTGAGTTTGTAAAGAGCTTTCTGCAATGAATCCGTGTATCATTCGTTCATTCGTTTTTCAAAATAAAACCAAAAAATAGAAAAACGAAAAATTTACTATTTTCTTCGTTATTTATCCCCATAACAAAAATTAAAAACGGATAATGATTCGTTTTTTCAGATTTCGATTTTGTGTTTACTTGAGTAATGGAAAGATGCGATGCCGGACTGAACCAGGACTCAACCAGGTCTGAACCAGGACTGAACCAGGACTGAACCAGGACTGAACCAGGACTGAACCAGGACTGAACCAGGACAGAACCAGGACTGATCCCTGGGCTAAAACAGAACTGAATCAGGTCTAAACCAGGACTGAACCGGGACTGAACCGGGACTAAACCAGGTCTGGTCCCAGTCATAGTTCCAGTCCCAGTCTCTGTCCCAGTCTGGTCCCGGTCTGGTCCTGGTCTGGCCTCGGCCTCAGTCCTGATCACCCGACAATGTATGAAGGTGCACCTCTGGGCCCGTCCCGACACTCAGTCCTGGTTTGGTCCTGGTTCAGTCCTGGTTTAGACCTGCTTTAGTCCTGTTTTTGTCCTGGTTCAGTCTTGGTTCAGTCCGTATTTAGCGCAAAAGTCCGGCGTTGCAGTTTAAGTCACAAAAACGGGAAACAATTTATTCTGTTGTTCATTTAAACACAAAATCGAAAACTGAAAAATCTAATCGTTTTCCACTTTTTCATTTTTTTAATTTTTTCGTTTTATTTTGAAAAACAAATAAACGAACGATACACGGATTCATTTGCTTTAGACCTGTTTTAGTCTTGGTTTATGCTGGCTTTATCCCTAGGTTTAAATTTTTTGGGGTGATATATTGGTTTCAGTATCGGTATCGGCCTTTATTGATTGATTTTTTGACGATTTTGAACAGACTAATAAGTGTCAATGGAAATAGAAGAGAGTTATTTGGCTGTGCCTTTACACAAACATATAACAAACTATTTTATATGCCAGATAAATACATTTGTGTTTTGATTTTTACAGAAGTGGAAAGTTAATTTGACCTCGCTATGGATTTTAAAAGCTAAATATCGAAATTTTGGAGATTATGGGTCATTGGCAACAACAGTAGGCCAAATATCGGATATCGGTGTCCATTTCGATCTCGTTTAGTCCTGCTCTTTTGCAAATTGTATATCTGCGTTGAAACATGTGGCCCACAAAAGATGCATTTAGCTCTGAGCCGTGTCTTTATTCTGTCATTATTTGCTGGTTTCCGAGAGCAGAATGAGTTTCTGTTTGGATTCGTGACAAAAATACTTGAGAGCCTGATCATATTTGTAATGGTTTCGTGCAAGTATTCGTGTGGAGTCGTTTGAAGTTTTGTGGTATTCTTCACTGGATAAACCCGTGACGCATTTTTAAGTTATGCAACAAAACGAGAGTGAATCCCAGAGTCCCGAGTCTTTGTATTTGCGGTTTTCAGGTCCTAGATTGTGAGCACGTTTTACTCTCAGATGAGGGTTAAAGGTCATATGATAACATTGTACGTGAGCCTGATATTTTCAAAAGTATTTAAAAAAATGTGTGATTAATACGGATGGAACAAGACAAGACAAGATTTTTACATAATTCATAGATAAATTTCACGATTCAGGTTCCAATTTATTCCAATTATTTGTGTTTCCATTCTAGTTCTGCTTTTTGGAAAGGTAAGAGCTGGAACTTGCCAAGTATTTGACCTGTATAAACGTTTATTAATAAATATTGTTGTGCTAGATTTATAAATGTCATTAATTATCACTATCATTGCAAAAACAACTATTTTATTCTCTATAAATTGTTTCAGCCGATCCATTCTTCTTTAGTATTTTCTTTAGTTTTTATTCCATCCTCAGCATTTCCTTCACTTGTTGCCCTGGTTTAGTCCTGATTTAGTCCTGGTTTAGTCTGTTTAGTCCTTTAGTCTCTGTTTAGTCCTCTGGTTAGGTTCCCTGTTTTAGTCCTGGTTTAGTCCTGATTTAGTTCAGGTTTAGTCTTGGTTTTGTCTCTTTTAGTCCTCTTGTTTAGTCCTCTGGTTTAGCCCTGGTTTAGTGCTGATTTAGCCCAGGTTTAGTCCTGGTTTAGTCTCCGTTTACTCCTCTTGTTTAGTCCTCTGGTTTAACCCTGATTTAGTCTCTGTTTAGTCTCCTCTTAGTCACCGTTTAGTCTCTGTTTAGTCCTCTGGTTAGGTCCCCTGGTTTAGTCCTGATTTAGTCCAGGTTTAATCTTGGTTTATTCTTGTTTGGTCTCTTTTAGTCCTCTTGTTTAGTCCTCTGGTTTAGTCCTGATTTAGTCCTGGTTTAGCCCTGATTTAGTCCTAGTTTAGTCCTGGTTTAGCCCTGGTTTAATCCTAGTTTAGTCCTGGTTTAGTCTCTGTTTAGTCCTCAGGTTTAGTCCTGGTTCCGTCCTGGTTTAGTCCTCTGGTTTAGTCCTCTGGTTTAGTCCAGTTTAGTCCAGATTTAGTCCAGGTTTAGTCCAGGTTTAGTCCAGGTTTAGTCCAGGTTTAGTCCTGGTTTAGTCCTGGTTGAGTCCTGTTTTAGCCCTGGTTCTTCATACAACAAAACCTGTAATTGGGATAAAATGAATATATTTAATTTATTTAATAATATATTTGATTTCTTTTCACTTTTTTTCAATTTTCACTCTTTACTGCTTCTACAAAAACTGAACTAAAAGAAATAACATCTGCACTGCACCGGCCTTTAAACCGTTATAAAGCACTTATGTAACAATAAAGATAGTTTTTTTATGAGACAAGAGCAGGAAGGAAAACGAAGTGAGTTAGCTGAAGGTTTTTTTTTTTTTGTATTTACATGTAAAAAATCAGATTAAACAAGTTAAATCTGACTTTACGTATATACAGTATTATTTCTTCTGTATAAATAGTCGTTTTGGCATGAGTTCTCTTTGCAGGTGTAGTCTTGTGAGGGCAGTTTGATCAGGCTGCTTCTCATTTCTCCTTCCTCGCCTCCTTCTCCTTGATTCCTCTCCTCAGTTCTGCAGGAAACGGGTGAGGAAGTCCCGCCCAGAGGAGACAAAGCGAGGAGAGAGGATATAAACCTCACACTGAGACCAATAAAGTTTGATTCTTTTATCTGATGTCTGAAGCCTCGCTCGGGTTTACTCCTTCCTTCCGTGGTTTTCTTTTTTTTTGGGACGCTACAGCTGAAAAACGAAGGATTCAAGGAAAAGGAAGCGAGACAGAGTAGTTTTGAGAGCTTTTTTAACCACGTATTGACTTTTCTGTTAACCACTAACGCGAGTCCACGTGACCACGGTGAATCAATGTCTGAATCCGTGCAGTTATAAATAGACTGTTTCATAATATTTGTCATTGAAAACGAGTGAACTTGGACTGCAGGGGTGTTGGGATCTGCTTTGTCCTCTTACATAATATTGACTCGGGGCAAAGGGTTGAGTTACTGGCTTTGAGCTAAACACATTTTCAATTTTTTTTTATTTTTTTATGAACCTGCAAAATGTAGACACTTGAAATATTCCCTGAAATATTTAAGTTACAACTTGCAACTAAAACGTTTTGGTATTTGAACATAAATGGACCGACATTAAAAGCTGAAAATGTTTGTGAAAATTATAACTAAAACTTGTCCTGGTTTAGTCCTGGTTTAGTGCTGGTTTAGACCTGGTTTAGTTTACAATTTTACATATGTTGACTCTGCAAACAAATTAATTATTAGAAATTATGTTTAGTCCTGCTTCAGTCCTGGTTTAGTTCTAGATTAAACCTGGTCGAGTCCAGGTTTAGTTTTGCCTTAGTGCCATTCTAGTCCTTCTTTAGTCCTGTTTTATTTCCATTGTAGTCCTGGTTTAGTTCTGGTTTAATCCTGGTTGAGCCCTGGTTTGGTCCTAGTTTAGTCCTGGTTTAGACCTTGTTCAGCCCTGGTTCAGCCCTGGTTTAGACCTGGTTTAGACCTAGTTTAGAACTGTTTTAGACCTGGTTTAGTCCTGGTTTAGTTTGGGTTCTTGTGGACAGATGGCAGTACTGTCTGCCCTGATTTAGGCCTGGTTTAGTCCTAGTTTACTCCCGATTCACCTGGTCCTTGTTCAGCCCTGGTTTAAACCTGGTTTTAGTCCTGGTTCAGCCCTAGTTTATTCCTGGTTTTATTCCTGATTTAGAACTAGTTTAGCCATGGATTAGTCCTCGTTTAGTCCTTGTTTAATCCTGGTTTAGTCCTGGTTTAGACCTGGTTTAGTCTGGTTTAGTCTTGGTTCAACCCTGGTTTAGTCTGGTTCCTGGTTTAGCCCTGGTTTAGTTTGGTTCAACCCTGGTTTAGTCCTGGTTAGTCCTGGTTCAGTCCTGGTTCAGCCCTGGTTTAGTCTTGGTTCAGCCCTGGTTCAGTCCTGGTTTTAGCCCTGGTTTAGTCTTGGTTCAGCCCTGGTTCAGTCCTGGTTCAGTCCTGGTTTAGCCCTGGTTTAGTCTTGGTTCAGCCCTGGTTCAGCCTGGTTCAGCCCTGGTTCAGCCCTGGTTCAGTCCTGGTTTAGTCCTGGTTTAGTCCTGGTTTAGTCTGGTTTAGTCCTGGTTGTCCTGTTTAGCCCTGTTTTAGCCCTGGTTTAGTCCTGGTTTAGTCCTGGTTTAGCCCTGGTTTAGTCCTGTTTTAGCCCTGTTTAGTCCTGTTTTAGCCCTGGTTTAGCCCTGGTTTTAGTCCTGGTTTCCTGGTTTAGCCCTGGTTTAGACCTGGTTAGTCCTGTTTTAGCCCTGTTTTAGTCCTGTTTTAGCCCTGGTTTAGTCCTGGTTTAGTTCCTGGTTTAGTCCT